CTTTTATTTTTTTAAATATTCTATTATATATTATGAATTTAAATTTAGAAATAATGCACAAGATACAGAAAAAAAAATTTTTTGTAACTATCGTTTATATTTATCCATATTTAAATATTTTACAAACAGATGTATATAACGATAAAATTAAAATTAGAAAAATTTATATTTTGCAAGAAAAAATGCAGATTTTTAAAATAACATATAACGATTTCTGAAGTTATTTAATTTATTTATAATTATTAATAATTTATTATTTAATTATTTAATATATATTTAAATAATATACAAAATCGTCTAAATAGTTGAACTCTTACTTTTTTTACTCTCCAATAAAAGATGATAAATAAAATTGAAACTCTTCTAAAATTATAATAAAAAATTTTCAGAATCTTATATAAAAAAAGACACTTATGTTGTATTATAAGTGACCATAGATTATCAAAATATAAAACTGAATATTATAAATACTTATAAGATTATATCATACATTACATTTATATTGCAATTTCTTATCATAAATATATATATATATAGTATCTGTTTATGATATATACTAATAATTGTTTATAATCTAATAATATATATACTCTTGAAGAATTCTTATTAAAAATGCATTTATATTATTTAAAGTATTATTTTGCTTTAAAAATAATGAAATTGAAAAAAGTATTATTTTACGTAAAATACAATTTTAAAATAAATTTTTAAAATAACATCATAATGTTAATTCTTTTTTTTTTTTTAGTAGAACAAGAATATTTATCAATATATTGTTTCCCTATAAATTTTAATGGGTTTGAAATATTGTAGATTCAATAATATTTTAAATAATTTTTTTATAACTATATAAAAGAAAGAATATATTTTTCTTATCGTTCTATGATTAAAATATATTAGAAAAGATTTTATATAATTATCTCAATAAAAATTTAAACTTAAGCTATTTTAAATAAAACGCTATAAATTTTTTTATTATTATATTTATTATATATTTTGAAAATTTATTTCAAAATAAATTTAAGCATATAATATAAATGAGCTTCCATATCGTATAAAATAAAACAAATAATTCAATCATTTTTACTGTATTGATTACTGTAATTAATATAATTGTCTTATTAATAAGAATTCATGGATGTATCAAATATACAATTTAATATATCTTTATCAATTGTCTTTCAAATATTAATGAATTATTTACTAATTATCACAATTATGTTTGTCTTTATTATCCATACAATCATTTAATGTATAATTTCGCAAAAAGTGTTTTATATATTTTATATATTTTGAAATTCTTAATTTAGAATATTTATTTAAAGTATTTAATATTTAAACATAAAT